TCAGACATCGGAATACAAAGTTATGATAAAAACACTTAAAGAAGGTGCAGCTGCCGTTTAAAACAAAAAATTCCGTTACATAGTCCGTTAAAACAACAAATTCCCTTAGTTTTTCCGTTAAAAACAAGAAATTCCGTTACATAGCCACTTTTAATATATAGAAGATATTAAAAAGGAGGATTGATGAGAAATTTTTGAATATCCCATTTACCCTTATGTATTTTGCTATATACATAATATACCCTTATTTAATTTTAATTTTGTTAATAATCAATTAATAACATTAATTCCTTAATTATTTAGCTATATGTCCAATATACCCTTATTTAATTAATAATATCAATTCAACATGAAATTTTTAAAAAAAATCATTTTCTTTTCCATTTGTCAATAATTTCTTAAATTAATCTTTTTAATATTATAACAATTTTATTAACAACTTTTAGGTGTTGTTAACAATTTTAGTCCTACTTGCATACTCTTCCACAGTATTGTGTGGTTTGGCATTACGTTTATTTTTCACCATCTACGTGAGCACTGCTCGGATTCTTGTTGCGTTTAGTCCAATGTATCTATAATTTTATAGTGAATGCATAAACATTTCATCAGACTGATAGCTTTACTGCAAATTGGGATTCTCCTTATTGACGGAATTTGGACTATGAGCCTCTTGAATCTCAGCTTCTGAATTGGAAGGATTGGGGGCTATAAGGATTGACACACAATTGCCTCTTGCCTTCATCTTATTTCCATTAGTTTTGGCAAGTTTCCAAGTTCAATTGTAATTATCCTAAATATCATATCTACGATCCGCTTTGAAAGAATCTTTACCCATCTTATCTCTTACGGATTTTTATCACGTCCCCATTATTCGAATCTAAAAAATCTGTCTTATGAGGAGTTGAGAACTGTTATAAAAAATTGGTTGTCCAACTTATTGTCCACCAATGATTTATTGATACATCATTTTACACATATTTTAAAGCACAAGTAGTAGTGAGAGAAAAGTTAGGCGTGTTACTTTAAAGTGACTCGACAATGAATCATTAGATGGATAACAAGTTCGAGGCAGATCTCAACTCGTCTTATGAGATACTTTAGTCTCACACATATCCTAACAACTAAATATTATATTTATCTAGATCTATCAACAATATATGAAAATGGAGGATTGAGGAGAAACTTTTGAATACCTTATTTACTCTTACATACATACATACATATATATATATATATACACACACACACACACACACTTAATATACCATTATTTAATTTTAGTTTTGTTAATAATTAATTAAGAATATTAATTCATTACATATTTAGCTATAATCCCAATATACCCTTATTTAATTTTAGTTTTGTTAATAATTAATTAATAATATCAATTCAACTTATTCAACATGAAATTAAAAAAAAAAAATCATTTTCTTTTCCATTTGTCAATAATTTCTTAAATTAATCTTTTTAATATTATAACAATTTTATTAACAACTTTTATATAAAAATATAACTTAAATTTCTTCTCTCGGTTGAATTAGTCAATTTTAAAAAATAAAAAATCATAGTCCCTTATTTAAATGATTGTTTAATTTGGTTTGGTAGTTATATTCCCACTAAAATTTTTATTAACTACACAATATTATAACTACAATAAACTAATTGGATTCTATGACATGATGAAAGTTGCTACGGATGCGAAAGCGCGTGATGTTGGTTAGTCGTCCCCCTCTCTCGCTTATTGATTAGGGAGGGCACATCTCTCTTTGCCAAGGAGAAGATGTAGGTTCGATTCTCGTATTCGTCGAAGATCAATATAAAATTATTTTTCCTTTAATATGATAAAGGATAGGGTATAATTGTTGCTCATTTTCACAGTTAAGTTCTCAATTATTTTTCGTTTTATTCTTATCACTACTATATAAAAGAGTCAGTTTGATTTTTACTATTCATAAGCCAATTGGCCACCTAAGCTGAGCCGAGTTTAGTGAGCCACGTTAGCCGAGTAAAGAATCTTTCTCTTCTCCATTTGTACACGCTACCTCCCATAACTCATTATTTACTCCAAGCAAAGCATCTTTTTCTTCTCTATTTGTAC